ATGTTTGGGATGAAAACTCAGCAGCATTATCAAGTCTAATAGACTTAATTGGATTATCGGGAAATTAGGCCCGTAATCGAATTATTTGTGCCATTAATTTTGCAAACGCGAGGTTGCGAGATGACAATAGGTATACATGAGACCATCTAGAAGATGCATCTATTAAGACCATAAAATATCTAAACGACCTACTAGGTGAGTGAATAGGTCCACAAATGTCCCCATGTATACGTTCTAAAAACGCAAGGGACTCAATCCCAACCTTTGTTGGTGAAGGTCTTATAATTAACTTGCCTTGATAACAAGAAGTGCAAGAAAATTCATTATTTAAAAGAATTTTCAAATTCTTTAATGGATTTCCATTTGAGTTTTCTATGATTCGTCTTATCATAATTGATCCAGGATGGCCCAATCGATCATGCCAAAGTACAAAAGTATTGGAAGCAGTAACCTTTTGGTTTAAGGTAGAATGTACCTCAATTGCACTAATTTTTGTCCAATACAGGCCACAAGATAAAGATGGGAACTTCTCAATAACTTTTTTCTGACCAGAGACATTCTTGGTAACGATGAGATATTCCATATTATTCTCATCTATTGTCTCAATATGAAATCCATTTCTGCGAATATCTTTAAAACTCAACAAGTTCCTCTTGGACTTGGAGGAGAACATTGCATTCTTTATGATAATTATTGTTCCCTTAGACAGAGTTATAGTAGCTCTTCCAGAGCCTTCAATTAGATTACTACTACCAGAAATTGTAGTAATATCTGCCTTGCACATACTTAAATGAGAGAAATATTTCTTCTCTTTGAATATTGTATGTGTCGTACATGAATCAATTAAGCAAATACTTTTATAATTGAATTTTGATCCAAGTTTGCTTTTAAAGATATCCATATTTTCTTCCCATTGTTTGACATACTAAAGAAGTATATGAATAAATATTAGTATTTTTAGAGAAAAATGGAAAAGAAATAAAGTTAAACCAATAATTCAATAGCAGCCTTTAATGCATTTTCTGACAAATTCTAATTATTATACAAATAATTATGCAACAAAAATAATACAAGTACACATATGACTAATACAACTACAACAAATTTATTTACATGTATAAATTATTTGCATTTTCCTACACATTGTATAAAAAATAATTGATCCGTGCAAGAAAAGAACATACTCATAAAAAAAACAATTGATGGTGAAGTAACAAAAGTTGTTCCAGGGTGCTTGTAAACCTTTTATTAAAGAGAATTAAAGCAACGTAAAGGAAAGTTAAAATCGTTAAAAGATCACTGAAACTAGAATACTAATTAATAGGATATTACTCCTTGTTTGTGAAATTTAAAAAATTTCAGAAATAAAAATATTCTTAAGAACTACATAAGAAGAATTATAAAGTGCAATAAAAATTACTAGATGTTTATTCATTACATACTACGAATAGGAAAGCATAAAAATTAAATTGCTCAATCATCTCTAACCACAGATCCATCACCGATCAAGTGGTTTATTTTTTCATCAGGGTGCTCAAAAAAATCTGCCATATCCAAGTGAGTGATGTCAAATTCATTGTCATAAACAAGATTGACTTCAGGACCTTTATTCTTTAGAGATTCTTGATAAAGCTCAACCAAATGTTTTGGTATGCGACAAATTTTTGCCCAATGCCCTTTTCCACCGCAACGATAACATTTAGTTTCTGAATCCTTTGCGTTTCGCTTCTCATCTTTTCCTTTCCATTTTTGGAAGTTATTTTTCATTGGAGGATGATTAACATCTAGAAAATTTCTTCCTTGGATATGGCCACAACCACGACCACGAATATGGCCACGACTTTTTCCACGATTAGCATAATGGGAATACACCTCATATCCTTTAGGCAATGGTGTAGACCCAGTGGGTCGATTTTCATGATTTCTCATAAGCAATTCATTGTTTTGTTCAACCAGAAGTAGAAGAAAAATCAACTGAGAGTACTTTGTGAAGCCTTTCTCTCAATACTGCTATTGCAAGACCATATTGGAGGCATGAAACTTTGTTAACGTTTTTTCAAACATATCATAGTCACTGATATTATCTCCACAGAGTTTCAATTTAGAAGTAATTCTAAACATAGCAGAATTATATTCAGAAACAGACTTAAATTCTTGGAGCCTAAGATGAGCCCAATCATATCGTGCTTGTGGAAGAGTGACCAACTTTAAGTTATCATATCTTTCCTTTAAACCATTCCACAAAATAAGTGGATCTTTCACTGTGAGATATTCAATTTTCAACCCTTCATCAAGGTGATGGCGCAAGAAAATCAAGGCCTTAGCACAGTCTTGGGTAGATGCCTTATCTTTATCTTTAATGGCGTCTCCAAGACTAGGGCTGCTTATCGGGCGGATTGGGCTGTTATTTACTCTTAACGATTTGGCTTAACAGTTATCGACTTTTAAATGTATTAATCCACTAGTCACCCGATAAGATATCGGGTGGATTGGTATCAGTTTACCTCTTATCGGGTGGTTATCGGCCTAATTCAACCTATATTGTACGCTACAGAAAAATGACAATAGAATGGGATATAGTAGCAAGATAACCTTTTTGGGGCATTTGCAGTAATTTAAGGGCATAAATTCGAAGGTAGATGGTATCATTGGCAAGATTTAAGACTTCATGTTAGCTAGACAGTACAATTTATCCATACATATCAGATGNATTAAGAAAATTGAATAATCCGCCCCCAAACCGATAAGCCGTTAATAAAAAAATTTCAATCCGTCCCCCGTCCGTTAATCCGTTAACCCGTTACCAGTAAGCCATTAAGCTTCGATTCGGTTCGGTTTTCGGTTTCAGATCGGTTTTGAACACCTCTATCCAAGACCCAATGCATCTAAATGGATTTCAGCATCCAATACCCATGTCATATAGTTCTTGCCCGAAATTTCAAGGGCGACGAACTTTCTTTTCATAATATCAGACATAATTAAAAAAATACAAATTTGAGAAAAATTATACCTTAATTTTCTCAAAGATCTTCTTGAGATGGTAGAGTCTCGTGCTGATAACGTGTTATAAAATATAACCCAAAATAACAATATAGAACAAGCAAAAACAAACTAAGAGATATAGAGAGAAAGAGAGGAAGAGAGATTCTTATTTCTTCTTCAATTGTGTGTATTTTCCTATCTATTACAAGGCCTTTATATAGGCATAAAAAGTGAAGAAAATATGTCATGGAATATGTCATTGAACATACAAAATATGTCATTGAATATGTCATTAAACATTTGAGATGAAGATTATGAAAGAAGAGTAGACATCCAACATAATGTGATATTTATCATAACAGGCCCACCATTTTTGAACATTATCACGAATACTTTGATTCCATAGGAAGTGCTTTGCCGTCGATGTCGGCGGAGATACACTATTAGCTATGTGTTTGAATGAACATAGTAATTTTTGTTTAAATTTTTTAATGGGATTATACGATGCGAAGCTGAATTAGTCGGAGCCTAAAAATATTAAAACCATATGAAGAATTTAAAGGGGAGCCTTGGAGCACCGGTAAAATTGTCTCCGTATAACTTATAAGTCACGAGTTCGAATCATGGAAGCAGTCGCCAATATTCGCATTAGAGTAAACTATCCATATCACACCTCTTGGGGTGCAACCCTTCCCTTTTCCCGAAATAAACACGTGATGTTTTGTATACCGGGCTGCCCGCCTCATACGAAAGACTTAAAAAATAACAGTGTCATCAAATGCTTTGATTTTGACATTATATGATCACTTTAAAAGATACATCATCAAGTACAAAAACGGTGCTTTTGGTATAAGAAAGAACACATATCGAACAGCATCAGAACATCATTAACTAATGAAACGGCTTGATGAACGTATATTTCTTTAATTAGTAGCGGATTCAAAATATGAATTTAATGAGTTTAATTTTTAAGATTCTTAGCATTTATAAATTTATTGTACTGTTAAAATTATTAAAATCAAATCTAATATTTATTAAAAGTATAATAAATTCATAACTACGAAGAATCTTAAAAATTAAACCCATTAAATTTATATTCGAAATCCGCTACTAATTAAAGAAATATACGTTCATCAACCCACATTACTCATGTTACTTTCAGCATCAAATGTAGCTTTCTCTCAAGCAACACATATAGTTGACGTTGCTCTAAGCATCAAATGTAGCTTTCACTTACTCCTCAAATTTCCCCATATACCCACATACACAAGCATTTTGTTTTTTCCCTCCTTGACATTCCTACCCCAGCCAACCTTATGTAACTATCCATTCACAAAAAAAAAAAAAAAAAAAAAAAAAAAAAAACCTATATATTAATTGCATATTTTTTTAACCCCTCATGCTGCCCGAATTGGTTGAGCGGGGAACTTCCCGAATGGAAGATCTAGGGTTCAAAATCTACTTGTATACCTTCTCGATCGAATTTGTCGCACAGGATTTTTTTAGTGAGGCTATCCTCTTATGTGGTTTACAGGCTATTACAAACCTGTGCACACTCGAAGAAGCGCGCCTGCAGGTTCCCTCGTTAAAAAAAATATATAGTAATTTTTTTAACCATCAATTTACTTAAAAAATTCATTACAGATAGTTGTTTTTAACAAATGAGACTACTAACCTAAAAAATAGAGCATATAACTTAGTACAACCAATTAAAATATACTGATAAACCGTGCACACCCGAAGAATAGCGGTTGGGGTTACTCGAAAATTTCCCAAAAAAAACATTAAAATATACTGATAGTGCAAAAAAGAATACGTAGCAATTGTATATAAGTTAAATCCTATAAAAAACAAACACATAAAAGAATGGAGGATGTGGTCCTCAAACATCCCTCTCTAGCTTTTGATCATCTTTCCTTTCAAAATTCCCACTTCCTCACTTAGCCTATATCTTCCTAACTCCTTTCTTCTTATTTTCTTCACAACTTCCTCCATTTATTCTTCTTCTCTTGATCAATATGGAGGATAATAATGACTTGTTCATTTTGGCCACTGATAATGATGACAAGAAGAAGAGAAACCCTAGTTATAATAATAGGAGTAGTACTAATAATAACAATGAAAAGATCAAAGGGTCAAGTACTTCAATGAGATGTTGCCAAGCTGATAAGTGTACTGTTAATTTAAGTGATGCCAAACAGTACCATAAGAGGCATAAAGTCTGTGAATACCATGCAAAGTCTCAAGCCGTCGTCGTCGCCGGACTCCGGCAACGGTTTTGTCAACAATGCAGCCGGTTTCACTTCTTACTCTCCCTTTATTTGTTTCACAGTCAGTAGTTTTTTTGTATTTTTTTTTTATATTGTATATGTGTGACTTAATGCTTGCGTTAGAGTAAATTGACTGCATGGTATGTGACCTTTTCTTAGACCTGCAACATGCATGCATGATGCATTCTTACTAAAATAATACTTATAATACTCATGATGCATTCTTTAGCATGTTGAGTTATCTATTTTCAGCTACTCCTTTTATACGATACTAATTGATCAGACATAGAATTTTGAAAAAGAAAGAAATTTTTTTCGGTATGTATAAAAAAAAATACTCTTAGAATATGTGATCTTACACGTAGGGAGAAATTAAAAAATATCCAGATTTATAACTGGTCGTTCAAAAATAGCCCAGTTTTAAAAGTAATCGAAATTTAGCCATTTTCCATGTAAAGATAAATCTGAGCGAAAACACTGTTCAAAACCCTAAAAATACACCAGTATATTATACTGGAGTTCCAACATAAGTATGCTTGAACTCCAGTATATTATACTGGAGTTCCAGGATAAGGATGCTGGAACTCCAGCATAAGTGCTAGAACTCCAGCATAATATACTGGAGTTCCAGCAAGTATAATTGTCCAGTATAATATACTGGAGTTTGGAGCACCGGTGCTCCAGTCTCCAATATATTATACTGGAGTCAGCAAAGTATACCGGTCCAGCATAATATGCTGGAGTTCATACACAGGTGCACCGAACTCCAGTATATTATGCTGGAACGGTCTCTGTTGCAGCAAAATAGTGGCTATTTTTCATTGACTTCGTAAACGCTGGCTATTTTTGAATGATTAGTGCGAAACCTGGCTATACCGTGCTATTTTTACTTACACGTACCATGATATATTTATAACTATAAGTATATCATTACTAAGGGTAAAATAAAAAGTTTAAAACTCAAGAATTTTCAAATATAAAATGTGTCATATACAATAAAATAGAGGAAATAATTGATTTAGCTTGCTTGAAATTAAAGTCGCCCAAGAGCTTAATTAAGAGCCAGTTTGGCCAAGCTGTCAAAAATTGCGTATTTTTGAAAACTGCTTTCATTTGTTTAAAATTCTTTTTGAAAAAGTACTTTTGTAAAATAGCAATTTTTATGTTTGACCAATTTGTTTGTATAGTGTTTTTTTATAAGCTCATTGTCTTTGTCCATTATTTAAAAAAATACTTTTAAGTATTAAATTACGAAAAAGGACAGTAAAGGTTCAATTTGTGATTAGTACTATTTAGAAAAGTAAAATAAATTTAAACATTTATTATAAAAGAATTCAATTAAAATATAAAACGTAAAGTAAAAATATAAATTAAAAATTTCAATAAATATAAAATATACTATTTCAAAGCAATAACACTGACTGTTTGGTATTGCTTATTGTTTACATGATAATTTAAATATATCAAAATACATCATTCAATATAAACTTAAAAATATACTCTTAGGAACAGGAGAAGGGAATAAAAATATGATTGAAATAAAAAAGAGAAGAAATATATAGTAAAAATAAAAAGAAAAAGGAAAAGGAAAAGGAAAAGAAAAATGTAAAATTAATGAGAGATAACTTGAAAAATATAAATTTATTGTAAGGTTATTGTTGTCTTGAATAAATTAATTTTCTGTTTCTACTTCTTGGAGGAAGTCATAATTTTTAGTTTTTCCCCAAAAGCAGAAAATAATTTGTGTTACTGCTCAAAAGTACTTTTATTTTATTTTGGCCAAACACCTAAATTTTCCAAAAAAATACTTTTGACCTCCTAGAAGCTTGGCCAAATAGGCTCTAAATAAGTTACTTAAATAGTCTTACTGGTTGACTAGTTCGGTTTTTTTTTTAAAGTACTAATTTTATGTTAGTAACTAAAAAAGGTGGTTCCTTACGACTTGTTTGGATGGTTGTTACTTATGGTATCATATCATATTGTTACTTTAAATTTAATATATTTTTTAATATTATTATTTAAATTTTATTATATCGTATTATAAATTCGTTATTATGTAGCAACTGATTTGATGTGGTCGGGTCATTACCTTTTTTTTTTCCTCTCGTCTTGCCCTTCTTTACTGAGTATTAAATAATCTTATTTTATCCTTTACCCAGCTATCTTTTTATATAATGATTTTATCTCGTACCCTTCTTTTTCTTTATAATATTGTAGGTTTATTCTTCATATTGCTAGTGTGTGACAGCATGAAACGACGAAAAACGATACAATCTCCAAATATTATATTCATAAAAAATATGTAATATAATACTATCTAATATGATATATCATAAACTATATGTAACAATGCTGTTAGGAATTTGTTTAATACGTACTATAGCACTTCAAGTTTTGTACTGGTAACTATGTATTGTTAGTATAAAATTGGTAAACTAGACAGTAAAGTAAAATAATCTGTTATAGCAAGTTATATAGCATGTTAAAATATACTGACAGTGAGGGGATGAGCCATCCTTTTTCAAGAGTAGTCACGTAACACTCATTCACCAAAAAATTATATTGTGAAGATATGTCAAATCTTTTATTTATGTATATATATACTATATGTTAAATCCCCTTACCTTTTTTGCGTTTTACTTCTTTATATTTTGGCTTCTTTAGTAAAACTCCTAGCTCTACCACTGCTGATAGCCTAAAATTAAATTATCGCATTGTCAGTATATATGAGTTGAATTAATCCGTTCATACTAGACGGTAAAGTAAAATAATTTGTTGTAGCATGTTAAAGTACACTGATAGTCCGGGATGGAGTCACCCTTGTCCAAAGGAAGTCAATAGACACTCTTTCGCTGAAAAATTACAATATATAAATAGGTCAAAACCTTGCGTTTGATGTCCATGTCTTTATTTCTTTATATTTTGACTCCCCTTCATAAATATCCTGGCTCCACCGTTGCTAATAATATAAAATTAAGTTATAGCAGTATCGTCAGTGTATATGAGTTAAATCTGTTCATACTCGGAAGCTTCTCACATAAACTAATGTGTGAGTTTGATGATCTAGTTACATTCACATAAGATGAGTACTCCCGATATTGTCTTAGGAATTTTAAAGTATATATAATAGCATACTGGACTCCATCGACATAAGTAGAAGCATTCAAGAATCACTTGACAGTTCTTATTTCAATTTTCCGACTCTTATCTTGTTAACACCTGCAGATTTTTTCTTCTTTTCTACTTTTCATGTGAGACTTTGTTCATACACACCTAACAACATGACCTGCAGATTTCACGAGGTGGGAGAGTTTGATGAATCGAAAAGGAGTTGCAGGCGGCGTTTGGCTGGGCACAACGAAAGGCGAAGGAAGACTAGTACTACTTCTTCATCATCTGATCAGTGTAATGCTGAAGTTTCATCGAGTAGAAAATCCATAATAGGGTCAGACACTCATCAGATAATAAACTTCCAAGAAAATGCTGCAGCAGGTTACAAACAATTTCAGATTGGATAAAAAAAACCGAGGCAAAAAATGGATATAATATGCTTGCTCTCTCTCTTCTGTCATTGTCTAAGCTCAGTTACTATAATAAGTATCAGTTCTATTGTTTGTGACTTTTATAATCATAAAGTTTGAAGCCTTGAAGATATTATTAAATCCAAGATCCTGAATGGTAGTTTTGTACCACTTCAACGTAATCCCACATAACGAAATTTGTTGTAATTGCCCTGCTAATATGATCTACTTATCTATATAACTCTTAAATTTGAGTACATGCATTATATATGTTCAATATACCGTGAAGAAGCAAATGCTATACCAGGAAAAAAAAAAGAATAAAAATTTTTAAAACAAGAGAGCAATGAGTTCAATACTTGTTATTTTTTGTCGACTTTAAGTTATATATGTTGTCTTCATTGATAGAGAGGATGCAACACTGAAGTACGTTCATCTGAATTCAGAACTTTCGACACTGAGCATAATTTTACACATGTTGAAGTTGAACCCCTAAATTTCGACTAAAATAATGTAATTAACTATGACACATTTGACAGTAGCAGCTAGCTTAATGGAGTTTGGATAATTCGAAATTTGTTTTAATCATGCAGAGAAAGTAAGATTTATAAAAGAGAAAACTATGGCTCTAGTTCTTTTGTTACAAGCTATATATTGTGCATTTGTGCCACAATATGCACTGCTTGCAGGTGCTTTTGCAAGTTATAGGCTATGTTGCTCGGACTCTCCGAAAATGTAGCCATAGTGTCGGATCCTCCAAAAGAAGTGCATTTTTGAAGGATCTGACACGGGTGCAGCTACATTTTGGAGAGTTCACGCAACATAGGTTATAGGCATTTTGTTCCCTTGGAAGATTTAATAAAGTAACTAACCAACCGAATACTTGAATGAATGAATGAATTACACACTAATAATACTAGCTCCGATTTTGCATAAGTTTAACTAACATACATTACAAATATTTCTCTAAACTCAAACTAAAGTGAATTTGTAGAGCTCCGATTTTGCACAAGTTTTACATACATTACAAATATTCTTCTGAACTCAAAATTTCCCCCCTCCTCTCTGTGTAGAATTCAAGATTTCTTGAACAACTAATTAGCAGCTCCCCAAATTTTTGAATTGATCACTACCTCATTTGAACCGGGCTGCCATTTTTATCACTACCTCATTTGGTAGGCAGCACTAGAAGCTGCCGCATAAGGGCAGGTCATTGCCCTCCTTTCTTTTCTCTTAACAATCTGTAGCTTTGGTGATCTTGCCTTTGTCACTTGTTTTGAAGACCTGTGGATGCAAAAGATTTAGAAGAACGGAGAAGGTAGAGAAGAAAAAAAGCAGAAAACATCCAACATGCTAAATTTACATACTTCTGAGGTTGAAATGGATGATCAAATTTAGGCACAGGTCTTGCATGGGGCACCAAAGTTCTCCTCAGTTGTTTCAGCGCCTTCTCTTCCTCCATCTATCCATAAATGAAATAAGAATTCAATCCGATCTCATCACAACATTACATTAAATGACAAAATCAAGATGTGCGCATACCATTTTTGCAGATTCTGCCTCCTCTCTATACCTTTTATACATCATCTCTTTCTCCTTAATCTGCACAGTAACAACTTATGACCTGAGCATTGGATGCCAAGGACGAAGGCAAATCTATGTACGCGCTTCTGTAATGGAACAGAGAATTACCTTCTTATCGAACTCAGCTCTATCATGAGCACGGTGATCTACATGCAGTTTAAAGTCTTGAACTTCAGTGAGGGGTTTACGTACTTTCTCAGGAACTGGTATTGGGTCCCTGCATTATTAATGATGAAAAATATAAACCATCTTTTGACATAAACTGAGAAAACAACACTGTGTGGAAAACTTGTTCTTTTAGTTCTTACTCTTTCAATACTGGTTGCGCCTTAAAAATCCTCATCTTTGCTTCTTCCTCCTCCATTCTTCGCCTTTCTTCCATATGCCTCCGCATCTCCTCCTCATGCTTAGTGAGACTCTCCAATTGGAAAGGTTCCGGTCTTGTGCACTGCTTTGGTTCTGGTTTTGGTGGAATCTAGCATGACAAAACAAGGTAATGACGAACGTAAAAACAGGATTGCAGAAAGAATCCATGTTAGAGTAGATACTAGAAAAGATTGGTTAGGACAAGCGTACCACGGGATAATCAGTGGTGTATGGATACGGAGTTGCTTTGTGAATTCTGGACCGCTCCTCCTCGATTTGTTTATGTAGAAGTTCGGTGAACAATCTCCTCTCTTTCTCTGCACCTCGTTCCTAAACTCCAATGAAGGCCAAGATGAGGGAACTGCTGTACTTAGCTAAAAAGGAAAAAACCAAGAACATAACAAAACTACATACCTCAGTGTGGAGATGAAAAGGATTCGGGGCGGTGTTTCTAGGGAGAGTAGTCTTGTCATTTTGAGGTTCAGAATTAAGGGAAAGCTGAAAATAGGGAAAGATACAATGATTAGGAAGCAAGTGTTGAACAGTAAGATAATAGGGAGTAAGAAATATGACATTAATATGGAACCTTGTCAAATATATCAGCTACGTTAGTTGGAGGCGGAATACGTTCATCTGTGGCAAAATGAAATTCCTGAGGCACTGTTACCTGCCTCTTTATGTTGCAGAACATCCCCAAATCTCCCTTACTTTCAAAAATCTACAATTTGAGGAACTTAGCAACAAGGGGAAAAGTAGAGAGCAAGAGAGTTTTCCTGTATAATAATCAGAAAGGCAGCTGTGGTTACCTTCTTATTCAATGGCCTTGCCTTAAAAATGGGAACTTTTTCAAGTTCTTCCTTTTCCATTTCTTCAGAGCTTTTGATCTTTGGAGGCCGTGCTCTTAGTGATGTTTTAAGAAGAGGTGATTTTGGAGCTGTAAGATGCGTCGGCTTCCATTGATGACTCTGTGATGAATGAATTTGTTTTTATTTAGTACCTAAAGCAAATAATTTTTTTTTACTGAGTAATTACAGGAAGCACTCCCTATACCTGAGTAGATTCTATTGATGCAACTGTTGATGTTTCAGCATTTTGATTCGCCCGTGCCATAGTTTGCAAATGAAATTCCTGCAGAAGTAAAGATTAATATTGGATATCAAATTTACTCTGAATATTTTGATTTTGATAATCTATACAATACCTTAAATTCTGGTAGTTGAGGTGTACTCTTCGGTAATGCTGGTAGAGTTGGAATTTCCAATATCTGTTACCAAATAGTCAAAACAATTTGGAAGGTAAGATCAAAAGACACTATTTAAAATCAAGAAAGGAGGGATCAAATGTCTAACATAAGGGGGTACAGTACCTTTTTGTTTAATGGTCGAGCCTTAAACTTGGGAATTTTGGCCATCATTTCTTCCTCTAGCTCAGCTGAACTCTTGACTCTTGTTGGACGAACACGTTGAGCTGTTACAAATTCAGGTTCTTTAGGCCTGGTCAATATAAGCTTATGCTTCCTCTGCATAACAGCTGGATCATCCTGTGTAATGAAAATACTTTAGAAGAAATATAAAGGGAAAGCTAGTCAAAATTAAGCAGCACTCGAGTGATTTACATGTAAAGTAGAATTGCTCATGCGAGATAGTGACATCTCCCTGGTGCTAGATTGGAACTTTTTCATCATTTCTGCTGTTGAAACAAATGGGGCAACTGGTTCCCGAACATACATCTTAAGAGTAGTAAATAATGTTGTGTTAGATTCAGAACATCCAAAATTTGTATATATATTCCAAAATGCAAAAAAAAAAAAAAAAAAAAAAAAAAAAAAAAAGAAAGGAAAATGCTGTAATAGCCAACCTTTCTATCCTTTTTATGAGTTTTTGCAGTCGAAGAGAGTAAGGCGGAACTGCTGCTAGCAACTCCAACTCTTGTTTTGTGCGGCAGAATCTGAGGTTTGATGTTAAGAATCTACATATTGGGTGGAAACGAGATCAAGGTCAAATAAAAAGTGAAATATTCTGCATGTACACATACGATCTGAAAGATAAAAATCAACCTGTCTGGATTTTCCGTCTTCTAGTTTCTGTCTCTTTATAGCTTGGTTTTCATGAGCAAAATTAGGTGCTTTAATGGCACTTTTCACGGTTGGTTGCCTATACAGCAAAAGAAAATGCATTATTTCGACAGACCACAACATGTTAGGATGGCAAAACATAAAAGGGAGCGAATTGAAAGATCAACGTGCTAAGATACTAAAAGTGTTAACTTACTTCCTCGTACTAGCTGGATTACCACTCTTCAATTGTGACTGTTGCATGTTAGATTTTGACTGTAATGCTGATGGATTTCTAAGAATGCTGGCGATCTTTTTAGCAGTCTGTTGCTTCTTGGAATTAGTCTTCCTGTCACTCTTCAGAGATATCATTGGTGGTGCGGGGGTACTAATTTCTGTCACAAGACTTGTGGTATTAGATCCATTATCAGCCAAAGGGGGTAAAGAAATTAATGCAAGTGAAAAAGCCAAATGATAACACTGCAGTATAACTGACCTTCTACATTTGACTGCTTCTGAATAGGTTCCTGGAAATTAATAAAACAAAATTGAGAAATAGAGCCTGGAAATAGCGAATAGCGCTTCTCTTTATACAAGATGTGGAGACATACCGGATTAGGAGGACTGCTACCAGGTTTTTCAGTAATCGCATTTGGCGTTACCACTTCCTTACTTCGAGAAGAAGTGAGCGCCGCTGCATGCTCTTCAATCCCACCATTTAACCTTACCTCGTCCTTAGTTCCAGAAGCAGAGGGCTCGGTTGTAGGCCTGTTTCAGGTGAACGATCAGTAAGTTATAAAGAGTTGGAACGTGATGTCAAAATTGGCATCAAAATCATCTAAATCCGTAAAATTTAATGCAATATAAATCAGTAGACCTTGAATTATTATCCTGCACTTCCTCGTCTTTGGTAAAATCACATAGGCTCTCAAGTTGAAATGTTCTACCACTCTTCTTGATTCTTTGCGTAAAAGCTGCAAAAGCCAACACAAAAATAACCAATCAACATTTCGTCGCCAATTGCGACAATTACAATCCACATTGGTTGTCTATAGAATGATACAGGCAATTTTAACAGTCTACAGGATCTAATGCCAATGCCTATGGACTGCATAAATATAACTGGTCATGCCTTGAAATAGAAAGGAAATTATCTTACAGTAACATCATGCTACTACTGAATTGTGTTGATACTCTCTCCTCATTCATCTCTGGTTGCATATCTAAGGTTTCAAAGTAGTAATTTTCTGTTTATATTGAGTATTTTGAAGGCAGCCGTGGGAGGGCAGTAGCATCGTGCTCACTTCTTCCACCATGTAGGTGAAGATTTCAAACCCCATAAGCGTACCGATGCTTCTTTTCCCCCCTTTCCCACTCTCTCTATGTAGTAACGAAAAGATTCCAAAACAAAATCAAAAGATTTTTAAAAAAGGTTAAACAAAGGGAAGAAAAGTTATAGTTTTGGCATAAAAGCTTCACAAGCCAACAACAACAAACCCAGTGAGTTCTCACAAGTAGGGTCTGGGTACGTTGACCATACCCCTGCCATGGGAGGGCGGAGATGCGGTTTCCGATATACTCTCGCCTAAAGACCAAAAAGCTTCACAAGCGAAAACAGAAAAAAACAAAACTCAGGCTCACTTTGCAGATTGATCCTATATTTTTAGAAGACTACTCAACAGCAGCTATAGAAACCCCCCCACAATTGCAATGGACATAGTTACCAATCTACATTGATTGGATATACAATAATTTAAACAATTACATATGATCTAGTGAAAATGCCTAGAAGACCCCTCAAACATATTAGTCATGCCAACTTGAAAATAAACAAAATTATCCCACCTATTCCCACAAATAAACTAAAACCAAATGTTTCATATGCAACTATTGTGTTCACACTCTCAAAAAATTTGAATTAATTTCTGTTCATATTTACTATTCTGAAGGCTACCATGGGAAAAAAAGGCAATGCCTTTTACGAAAGCATCTTCAAATTACACTTTTAAACTAACCCTAAATGGAAACTCCTCTCTGTATCATTCAAATATCGCCACAAATTCTGGAATTCAGCAAAATTGGCCCATTTCCAAAAAATGATACAGGCATGAAAGGCAAAACTTTACGCTAAGAAATGTGAAACCCCAAAAATTACGGGGGTGAGAAAACAACTAAAGAACCCAAATATTAAATACGTAATTAAATTCAAAAGTAGACATACGAGAAGGGGCATAGCTGATTGTAGACTCGAACCAAAGTTCAGCCTTCCGCATATCCTCCTCCGTTTCTCCATTCATAAAGTCGTAGAATCGTGGCGCCTCGAACTCATAATCCGGGTCAATTATCAAATTCGGATCTTCCATTTTTCTTCCAGTTAATTACACTCCGTCAGTGCAAGAGAAATGGTGTGAATTAATCACTGCGCCCACAAATTTGTAGGGGAATAAGGAAATAGTGGATTGATTTTTGGATTGATTTCTCCGTCAGTGAAAGAGAAGAATTTCTTGTTGTTTTTTTGCTGTGTGTCAAAGGGAGAAAAGAATAGGGAAAAATTGGGAGTGTAGAGAGGATATACGTTGTGAATTTGGGTTCAACGGTCGAATTTTTTGAAAAGGGGGAGGAGCTGTGTATAACGGCTATAAACGACTATTATTCAAGTAGAAGGCAAATTTATGTCCTAACAATATAATTTCTATTACCACAAAAAATAAAAAATAAATAAATTTTCTCATTACCTGCTTTTACAAATTATTACTACTTTTTATTCTATTTTTTTGTAAAATTCTAGGGTTAATAACACTTTTGGTCCCTCACTTAATGGTAAATGTTGCTTTTAGTCCTTGCTATATTTGACTATGACATATTTAACCTTCTATTATTTGAATTGTGTACTTTTGATCCCTTTTGTTGTGAATATTCACAAATTTAGCATCGCTTAATTACCATATGTTATGAAGTTTGTATTGTTACTCCGACGGTAATGTATTTCTAAAAATAGTTCAAATACAATATATTTCCTACCTAAAATGGACCAAAAACACAAATAGGGGAGCCTTGGAGCAATCACAAAGTTGTATTCGCATGAACTATAGGTTACAAGTTGAATCATAAAATTAGTTACTATTACTTGCATTGGGGTAGGCTGCCTACATCACATTTCTTGAGGTGTGCCTCTTCACTTAATCCTGCGTAAACATGAAATACTTCGTGCATCGGGCTGCTCATTTTACCTGAAAAGTCAAATGTTATGAAGCTAAATGTGAAGGGAGTTCACTTTGTTGACTTCAACTTATTTTCTCTATTTTTTATACTTAAGGTTATAAATTCATGCTCACTTTTAATTATTTATTAACTCATTTGTATACTGGCTAGAGAAAGTAAATATTGAATCTGACCAACATTTTACCTAACGATCCCTATTCTCTACAAAGATATCTTATACAGTTATACTCTCTCTGTCTCATATTATGTGTTGTGTTTCTCTTTTACACGCTCCTTAAGAAATATTAATTAGGAAAGAGATTGGAGTACTATTCTACCCTTATTTATATCTTAAGATATAATCTCTCTTCATTGAATATTTATTCTATTTATGTGACATCTCCATCTTCAAGAACAATTATTACTAAGGGTAAAAAGGAAAAAATAATCAATTTTATCTTGAACTTCTAAAATGACAAACAATTTGAGTTAAATATCTTTAGTAACCACGTCTGTGAATATGAAATGGAGGGAGTGCCATATACTACTCCCTCTGGTCCAAAATAAGTGATTTTTTGGCTTTTTTCTTGTGGTTCAAAATAAGTGATTTTTCCAGATTTCAAGAATGAATTAATTATTTTTTTCCTATATTGTCCTTGGAGTAAATAGTGTTGGAATATGTGTTATGAGTATTTATGTGAGATAGTAAAAGTTAATATGGTCAATTCCATTGCTAATTAATATTAAAAGATGGATTTCTTAATCTGTGTGAATCCAAAAAATCATTTATTTTGGACCGGAGAGAGTATCATTTTTTACCACATCTTCTATAAAAAGGGTCATCTAACTAAAATAACCATATATTTTAAGCAAGTCGATATCGTTATTAATGCCATGCAACATCTTTTTGTGATTCATCCTCCTGCAACAAATTCCCCAAAATTCAGGCCAATTTCCAGGACAAAATTAATGAGCTTAGTTAGGCATTAACTATATACTCATCCAAATTTAATGATCATAGAATTAATAAAAAACTGCAAATGACATACAACTAATTCTCCTCCAAAATCATATAAATCTCTGTTAGCCAGCAAAATGTACTAAGTTCATTTACTGACTATAAGAACAACAAGAAGCAAATGGCAGCCAAGAATTTAACATTCACATTTCTTATACTTGTCCTCGTCGTGGTTCCATTTCCAGGCATAGCAGTCTATGTTACGCCTGGAAATGTAACGTGCCACGACGTGATTAATTACTTCGCATATTGCCAAGAATATGTAGATGGAGATTATGAAGATCCAACTCCAGCGTGTTGCGATAACTTACATATTATGAACGAGAATGTGAAAAAGGATAACACAGAAGCTCGTAGGTATTGTTATTGTATTGAAGTTTTTTGTGCTACAGTTGGTCGTCCTCATCCTCCTTATCTACAGTCTCGAATTACAGATCTTAATATAAAATGTAACTTTCATCGTAGTTTTCCCATCTCTGAGCATATGGACTGCACAAAGTACGTATATTATATCACTCTCCTTAATTTTCTCCTCCTTTTATTAACTTTTGTATATGTACTCCGTATGTTTCAATTTATATGACATGTTGGTTGATTTGATACTATTTTAAGAAAGAAATGTAAGCTTTCGAAAATTATGATCTTAAACATGTCATAACGTATGTGTGACTATTAGGGATGACAAATGGGTGAGTCGGGTATGGGACTAGTGACGGCTCAACCCTAAAGCCACTAAAGCATTGGCTTTAGGCCCATGTAAAATTAAGGCCCCAAATTTACTCAAATTATATATAGTATAAATAATATGTATTTATTATTAGTGATAAATAAATTAGTTTTAATAATCTCTTGTCAATTTTTTAAAGTTTATACTAAAAATTGTAGATTATTCAATTTGCATTTACTTTGTATTTTTATTATTCTTTTTTGTTACCTCACGTATGGTGGATGAACTCAACTTCTTAATTTGTCTAATTCATTGCAACTTGAATAATTTTGTTTATAACTTTGATTTTGTAGAATCTTCTTCTATTCTTTAAGTGCTTTTTAGACAATTTTTCAATCTTAAGCTAATGAAATTCTCAAAGGATTAAATATAAAAAAGTATTTCTTAACCTCGAATGTTTTTTGAGACCTCTTTTTATATTTTTGCTTTAGGCCACATGTAGTGTTGAGCCGTCTCTATATGGGACGGGTCGAAACGAATAATAAAAAAAGGATAAATTATCCAACCAGATTCATATTTAATTTAATATGAATAAAAAATGGGTTAACCGGCGGATAATATGGATAACCATATTATCCATGAACTTATTGGATATGATCACTTTTGGGAGAATTCCTAGTCTCCCAAATTTTTGTATATGTACTCACTATGTCAAGTTATGTGACATATAAGTTTGATTTGATACTATTTTAAAAAAGAAATGTAAACTTTTGAAGATTGTGATCTTAAACATGTCATAACATTTGTATGACTATAAAAACTTCTCATTAAGAGTTAAGTATTTTTAAATATAAAAATATATCATTTCTTTTGAAGCAGGCGGATAAGAAAATAGTGTCACACAAATTGAAACAGATCGATGAAGTATTTCTTTTGGTTATATCGTAGTAACTAATACTTCTTCTTTGGGTGCAGTGTTTAGTAAGAGAATATTCAGCTCTGCAGAAGGGCAGCAGTTCTCCACAATGCTATGTTAGAAAAAGAAAATATATTGTATATATATGATCAATTGGACGAATGATGAATTCATACTTATCTCAACATGTAGTACAACACCTCAATCCCAGCCCGGGATCAGCTATACGAATACTTATTGATTATATTTCTCCATTCACATTATCTCAGATTAATACTATATAACAATAACAATAATTACGTTTCAGTCTTAAGTAAGTTATTTTGAACTGACATATCCCTTCTAAAACTAACCCAATAAGATTTTATTAAAATAGACGGTTTACAAAAATGGTCGTATAGCAATTTATACGAATCAAGAAATATTATTAAAGTTTATAGTCTAAATCCTTTCTTGATAAATATAGGGAAAAATGCAGCATATATAGATTCCTAACTTCTTTTTTCCGATTTTGTAAGACCAACTATCTTCATAACCAATACTTTCAATTTACATGGCATAATTTTCATTTTAGAATATTCCAAACTTATCCTACTAGATGTAATTATATATGGTCTCACTAAGGTTCTGAAATTCAAATATATTTAACTAATAAAAATTTAATTAGTTTTGACGTTATATTCTTTTCTTTCAAACTAAGATTTTAACTGTCATAATATTTTCTTCACCTTCAATTATAAAAAAGTAAGTCAAATTAATCTCTTAGACACTCTCTCATGATCAAATAATAGCGTCACGTAAATAAGACTGGAAAAGTCATAGAATTTGCGAGTAAATATTATGTTTCATCCCACAATTGGGGGATACAAATTCATTACTCTTAACTAGAAGTCTCGACCTCGAGTTATAAAAATGGAATTTTTTATAAAAAAGTGTTTTTCCCTTAAATGAATTCTATGCAACGTAAATATGAATTAACTGTGAATTTCAAATACCAAATCGTTATACCTAAAATAAAAGCATTTATGGGTATAGCCTGGTACTACAGTACCACTAAGTTAGATTAGAAGATCGAGTTAAACCTAATTAGAAGTTTCGAGCTTGACTTATAAAAATGAAGAAATGTATTGTCTGTTACTACTTCCTTGAGTGATCTAATGTAGGAAATTATGTGTATTCTGTTTCATGCACAAGTAATTCTCTGCGTTACATGCGGAAAAATAGGAGGAAAATAAATTGTGGTACCTTAAGCTCCATAGGTTGTACTATGTAATTGGACTTTATCTTTAGCTACTATGTAGCCTATATATGTCTTATGACACTGATTAAAGTTAAATCGAAATTAACGACCACACTAAACTTTTTATTCATTTGTTTAACTCGCATGTAAAAAGATTTGTTTAACTCGATTTGATCCTAAAATAATAAATAAACTAAATAAAAGCAAGACTTAGCGTTAAAATCGAGATAAAATAGCAGACAGTTTGGTTCATGGAGCAAGACTTCCGAAGGCAGCAATAAGAATATTGTTACACAGAAAATAAAGTATTATTTAACTTGGAATAATGTATAATATCAGTTTGTCAGAATTTTTCGTGTCCTACAACAGTTGTTGAAGTCACTATTTATAGCTATACGTAGGGAACAAGATCCTAGGATCAAGCCCCTCTTAAATATCAATAATGGGGGCGATTGATGAATATGTAATGATAGATAATGACTGCTAAAATTCTCTGTAATGAACGTGTATTCAATACTGAGGAAT